CCAGTACGGAAGACGATATGTCCCGTAAAATTAAGAGACTTTGTTGAATTTTAATTTTGTGTTTGTAAATTCTGTACATTAAATCAAGTTATTGTTAATTATCTATTGGTTTAATATAAGTGGCCATTGTTCGGGACGAACAATACTAAGGAAGGAGCAGTGTTACGACAGCGGAAGTCACGCGACGCTGGGAGCATGCGCGCTAGAGTTTCTCGAAGGATCATGAATTATCGAGATACCCCGCGAATGTCCGAGTGTATGCTAGACGCCCTCTTTTGTTAGTATATAAGCCTGGCGAGAAAAAACCAGCGAGATGAGAAGAGATATAGATCGATAGATATAGATTTATAGCGTGTGTTATAAAGGTTGTTTAAGTTTAAAGTGACTGTGGAAATTCTATGTATTACAAAGTTTTATCGAGAAAGAATAAACTAGTTTTAATTAAGGAAGGACTTGTATCGCTACAGTTCCTCGGAAAGAATTGATACTGGAAATTAACAAACGAGCAGATACCTAACAATATATAGGCCTAATAGTAATACTAATGTCTTATGAAAAGTATTATTTTGTCTTAGTTTAATTGTTTCTGTATTTATTTAAATATGTTTACTTCTATTAATTAATGTGCTGTAATAATTCAAATCAAAATTCAGTATATTTTCAAATCGTGAAACTTTATTTTTGAAAATCGTTGAGATACAAATCTACTCATGTGCGACTTTTTTTTTCAGCTCGAAAGCAAACCAGTTTTAGCCTGTTTTCAGAACATCTCTGATTGGTTAATACATAATCTAACCACGCCGCAATACGTAACGGCGATCATAACCTTTCTTTTCCCACATCTATTGCTAAGACGTGAACAGTTTTTCGAATTTAGTTAATTTTAAAGACATCAAAGATGAGGGAAATAGTTCATATTCAGGCTGGTCAGTGTGGTAATCAAATTGGTTCAAAGGTATGTTTGAATAAACTAGTAAAATATTTCATTGTGTAGTCCTCTAGTTATGATTATGTAGTGAATATCTTAACCTAGATTTCGTAAAATTTATAACTTATTTATTACTTTTTAATAAAATGTTAAGTAGTGGAAGTAACGTTATAACTTATAATTATGTTAGTTATAACTTGTATTGAACCAGGGCAATAGCCTTGGACTGGAACGATTACGGATTAGGGCTAACTATGTGTTTGTGCAAAGGCGGGAAATTTTACGGAATATAACTTGTAAGTAACCTTGTTGGAATACTGTTAATAATAATACTAGTTAACGCTTAATAATAATAGGCCTATAACTTCTAAATAACGTAGAGTTATTATGCTTATGAAAAAAAAATCACAGTTCTGCTAAGTTACTAGAACCCCTCCCTTGTTTTTCACATTTTTCAAATGGTTGTACTAATGGCTTACTTCGTTACAATACTCTATAGACAATGTAGTGTTAACTGTAATTGATGCTTTCCTCCCATCCCGTGACTTATTCTTAACTGTTGTTGTTGTAAATTCATATAAAATGTTTCATTTGTTTACATTTTGGTCTGAAAGTTTGATTAATTTAATAATTACAACTTTAAGCAATTATAGATATGAATTTGATCAACAGATTTGATGTAATCTTGTTTTATTATCAATATTCTGATTTGTTTTAAATTTATTTTTCAATGTCACTGGTACTGTGGTAGTGGTAAATGTTAAACCCTATATTTTATAAAACTAGGATCTATTGCAAACCACAAGTTATTTCATTAACCATAAGCTTATTATTAAAAAAAATATGTAATTTTATAAATCACGTATGTCTCCATGTAAAAAATGACTTTGCAAATTACATTTATACTAGACAGTACTAAAATTGTATTTAAAATAGTAAGCCTATCCTTTTAGTTTTTTTCCATTTTCACATTTTAATTTTATTTAATGGTCAGTGTTGCTGTCTAAATTTATTGAATAATTAATACTGGTAAAGATGATGGTTAGCTCATGAGGTTTGGCTGCATTGTTGGCTTCCTTTGATTATTCAGGTAAGGCACTGAATTTGACCCTAAGTCACTGATACTGTCTTTAATTTTGTTTGACTTCAAGTTTTAAGAATTTTTCAGCATTAGCCAATTAGTATTGGTATAGTTAATAATATTGTAATGGACTAAAAACTAACAGATGCTACAACGAGGGATGAAAAAAAAAGTGAAGTTATTAAACTTTGGCAACAACAGAAATCCAAAATAAAACTTTTCAAATGGTTAATAAACGTGTGTCTGGCCAGGACTTGATATGAACGTTAATAAACAATACAACATAAATATTAATGTTAACCATTTCAATAAATATAGGAATCAGGAAAAAAGAACCAGAAGAAGAAAAACCTAATCCCAAAATATTAATATTCTGAATTTAAACTACAAGATCACTAACAATATCTAGTACCAATAATCAATAGGTCCCATGTTATCCCAAAATGTTGTTATATATCATGAATTAACTGGTTGAAGCTCATGGCATTTAGTCATTTGACCATGAAATTATATTTCGTGTGACTAGTTATTACTATAAATTTACATAATTTTTCATAACATTAATATCTGTACATCACTTTTAAGAGAAGCTGGTGTCAATTTCATGACATGGTACTTAAAATCAACATTTTTAGCTAGAAGGTGAGTTAGTGCTTTAATGTAACAAAAATAAATCCTAGCCAAACTAAATGATAGAAGGAATAATAAATGAAGGGTAAACAAAACCATAACAAAATAAAAATTTGTCCTACTCTCCTCCCCCCCCTTATAAAAAAAAAAATGAAGTGATGATATTAATAACTTCCTATGAAATATCCCAATTTTCATATCCTTGCATTTAACTCCCTCTTTTTACTGACATCATGAATCCTTTATAATTTACGAACAGATACCTTACAACATGCTAGCAAGTTTTACACTCTTGATGCTAACAGTCACATAACTTGAGATAGCATAAAAAATTTTGAGGGAGCCTAAAACACCTATTTGGGCAGAATTACCATAAAAAAAAAAGAAAGGA